TACGCAAATAGAACAGTCAGCATATCAAACATAAACATCGATCGTCTAAAGGGTCCCTTTCGATCAACGAGATTACCGTTATGCACGAAAGCGTCTTACGTTCGTACGGGCCTCCGGGCCTTTGCTGGCCTCGCCGCGCATCCCGTAATTTAGTCCCTTAACGAGAGAAATCGCACGCCTCATTAGCGCTCGCTTCCAGGATTCCACATGCCTTCTTCCGCCGCGAATTAGTGAATTCAAAGGCGATCATCTACCTGACGTACTTCTATCGCATAATAACATACGTCACGTTTATCTGTTCTTCTTGCAGTCTTGTGATACGTGATTTAATTTTAAAAGAATAGAAATCATTTTGCAAATTCTAAATTTCTAATTTTGAATATTCAGAAGACTGATAATTACAATTTCAGTTATTTGTTTTCATTTATTTTTATTTATGTGGAGGATAATAAAAGAGTATTTATATTTATCACCTGTCTCTAGAGATGCGTAAATATATTATCGGTTATTTCGACGGCCAATTTTTCGGCTGTTCCGTCAAAAAAAAAAAGCGTATGGATCAACATTCAAACGTCACGTATGACAAGCGCATGCAGCGTCGATATAACGACACGTGAATAATGACCATTGGGGGCGATCTCTGATTTCGCCCGATAATATAACATCGTCGGTCCAAGAAGCGTTTAATTGAATAGCCGCTATTCGACGCGAATTATAAACATGATTATTGCGGTGGCTCGTGCGCGGCAGTTTCATGCAGTTTCGCGGCCGCGAAACGCGGGGGAATGGTCGGGTTAGATTAGCGCGCAAGGGACGAAGGATGCACTTATACTGATTAAAAAAAGAAAAAAGCGAAAATACTTGTCGCCGGAATGCTTTTAACGAATTAATGCCCTCCCCCTTCTTCCCCCTCCCTCTCTCTCGTCCCACCGGCACTTTTGCGATACAATATTTACTTTTGCTCGGTAAGCTCGTGTTTGCTCGCGCGCGCATGTGTGCGGGTCCTACGCTGCTTAAATCATTTGTCGCAATTTAATAAAATGAAAAATAAATACAAGTAACGCGCGAGCTTTAATTGCGGCGTTAATTATCCGCGCTCACAGAAGTTCCTTCCGCTGACTTAGGGAGTGACAAGTTCCGTCAGTTTTTATACATTACGAATTTCCCCGAAAATTATTCGGGGAAAGTGCGGCTATCAATGCTATTCGATATTCGTCACCCGAGCACGCATTCTTGAAAGTATGAAAATCTGCGATTTATAACAGATACCGTATTTTCCTTTTCATATTTTAATATCGTACTCCCGATTATATGTATACATTAATATGTATTTCGTGTATCTTACAATAACTTACACGAACGAAGATTATGAAAACAAATATTTTTTTTATGTTTAAGTCGAAAACGACTTTTAATATTTATAATAATAAATCGACTTCGAAGATCACACAACGGATTTTTTTAATCATTATACAAACGTGACGATAAGACGTTGTCGTTGTCGAAACGGAAACATGTGCTACGACAGAAAGAAAAACGGCCTGCATGCCCGGCCTAAAGGAAAATAGAAACTGAAAGAGGGGGGGGGGGGGAGAAAAAGAACGGCTTGGGATGGAGAAACGGGGAGGAAGAGATGCCGCTGTCGGAAAAATATAACCTGTTGGACCACGAAAGAGTGAGAGCTACGTAGGTACGCGACGGGAGAGAACGAGAGACGGCAAGTGAAGTTGGAGAGAAAGAGAGAATAGAGCCGAGATAGACGGAGATCCCGCTAAAGCGAGACAGCCGTGACGAAAGAAGAAGGGGAAAGACGAGGAGAGGTGAACATAGAACGAAACGGATGGAGCAGAGAGAAAGGTACAGAGAGAAAGAGGGAGAGAGAGAGAGATAAGAGAAGGACGCGCGCGTGTGCAAGCGTCCCGAACCTGCCTCAACTTCGACTCGACTTTCGCGGTTCGATTCCTGATCCGATCGATCTAGCTCGTCGGCGGTAGCACAGTTAGTATTTACACTTTGCTCTCTCGTTCTCCGGTATAATACCGTTAGTGTGTACTATTTTTCTGCACGCGCCCCTGCTGGCTCCTTCTTGCCCGCCTCCTCTTTCTCCCGTAATTCACTGTTCGAGGTTGAACGAGACAACAAACGTGCCGCAAGGAGCGAGAAGGACAACTTCTATTTTTCGAAACTCCGAAGGACGCGATTTGTCACGCATTTCCCGTGCTATACTCTTTCCCGACACGTCATGCAACATACACGATAATAATGTTCCCTTTCTCGGTATCTTCTGGTGTGGGCATTTAAATGCCTACGACCATTTCCATTCCAACATTTCACCGTTGACTTTGGTCTATGAAATATTATTAGTGTAATATAAAGAATGCAACCTGTTGGACCTGTTTAGCATTTGACAGTACGAAAATTCTACAAGATTGAGACCTTCAGGAAGTAAAATTAATGGCGCAAACACGTATAGGACAAGATGCGTTCCACTTTTAACACGAGTTCGCTCTCACTGATTAAAAAATTATCGATATCGCACAGTTTCGACTTTACAGAGAGATGACTCTCCTTTCACTCGGCTTTGTCCGTCGGACACGAAAGTGGCATTTGGCGTAAATATGAGGTGAAAATTGGACAGCACACATTTAACATAAATACGCGATGAAAATGGAAACACAGAGGCATGAGTAGCGACGTGAAAGGGAATATAATTCGGACGATGTCATCGGGAGCAATTTACACTGCGCCGAACACGTCGATCGATAAATTAACGAGACATATTCGATACGCGCTCGCATTTTTATCGGGCTCGCTTCTCGCGGAACCGCGTTTCGACGGCTGTTATATTATCACTCTGAAAATCGCATAGACGGATATTCGAAAAATTGTTAAGAGGCGCACTGCCGTTGTAATTCGTTTCAGTGACGAACGCTCCGGTCCCTTTTTGCGCCGATTTTACCTTTATCGGCCGATAAACGCGCAGTTTTTAATCACGCTCGCGATATGAACGAAGATTAACGACGAGGAAGGATGACACGCGTGTTCCGGATTTTTTAACACTTCGATACTCTTGTATTATTGCCCACTTTGCTCCGCTTTTTTTTTCAAATTTAATTTAACTGCGGGGTTTCTCCCTTACGTGTATATTAAACTCAACAGAGATAAACCGTATATTTACGAGAGATAGCATTTCATAAAATCGATACAAAAAATCAATTTTATCTTTTCTCGATCTTATCACAAGTTATCTGTTAAAATATATCGCATATTGTATGCAAAGTCACATTTTATGGCTCAAAAATTTATCGAATAAGTTTTAAATTCCATATACGTTTAGGGAATTATATTACCTTAGACATTCCGAAAAAAATGTGGAGTAAATCACATTTATATAATTTTTTGGTAAAGATCGAACGATATTAAGATGCATCCAGCAGTGTGTTAATTAAAGACAACGACGCGAACGGGCGAGCACGTGCGCGAATCGAGAGCGCCTCTGCCGCGCGAATATGCCATCCGGGGATTATCTTTCACGTAGATACGTTGGGTCTAATCTGGCGCGGTTGCTGCGACCGACGAGAAAAAAAAAAGAGTCGCGAGATAAGTGCGATCCGACCGAGTTCGTCATTGACGAGCAAATTGCGCGATTCGCGCCGGACGTGTGTGTCATCGAGGTTCACGGATGATCGTCCGTCGATACTCCGCACGACGATTCCGAAGAAGTGGAAATTATTTACTTATGATACACTAGTGCGAACTTAAAGAGGCGATCGCTGACCTCTCCACGCGTATGTCAAACGTGTGACGGCATTATCGACATGTACAACACACATTTGCTTTATTTCAAAAGTAGCGAAAGCGAATAATATATCAACAAAAATTATATTTGTAAATTATAAGAAAAGAACTCATTGTTCGCGTTCTAATAAATTTCATTGCGCTGTCTTTATTTGTTTCTATTAGTTAATGTTACGCAATGTAGCAGCCAGCACGATTTTCATTAATAAATAACGGATTCCTTGACAGACCCGCGGGAAAAGTCTTTGAACTTGATATTTTCAGTAGTTATAATCGTAATTAGATTAATTAATAATAATATAGAATGCAGGTGAACACAACAGATCAATAACTGTAATATCATCGCATTGCGTTAAGAACCTTGTCGACAATTTGAACTGTTGTTTTGAACAAACGTTACAAAATCATTTGTAATGGTTCACAAAATCGTTTTATTTTTCCTGAGTACCTACACGAGGACCCGTTTGTATCGTTAGCGCGTGTATAATTAGGCGAGTGGGCTGTAGTACGAAAGTCGTGACGCATTGCGAGTATTTGGCGCGCGTAATGTCGAGCCTCTTTGCGCGAAGTACGAACGGAACGAGAACAATTTTTCGAACTCGGCGCACTTCGCCGCACCTCATCGTGTCGTCGGCGCCGCCGCCGCCGCCGCCGCCGCCGTGCGGGATTTACACAACTCTTTCAATTAAAACTTTTTCGCAGTTTATCTTCCCGCGCACCGAAAAAAAAAATTAGGTTCCGCGCGCGCAGTAACGAGTTACGTAACGGAGCGCGCGCCGTGTTCCGGCGAGGTTTTTGTGCTCTCACTGGAAAAAATTCATCGTCACGTTCAGCGGGATTCCAGGGAAGAGAGGGATGAGGGTTTGGCTGTATGTCCGTAAGATAAATTAGCGTGATCGTGAAGGTTAACATGAATTTTTCTGCTACCTGCTACCTACATTTTTTCCCCTTCGTGTCTCTTAATAGCGTTCGCAGGGGACTTGAACTTTAGACCAGGGCGACTCATTGTTCGGTGGTCCACAGTTCCCTCGTGCAGCGAAAGAAATATTTTCCGACCGTCGAAATCGGTGCTAAACTGCCTCGAGATTCGTACCGGTTTTTTGGCGAAACGCAACATCGGGAACGAGTTATCGATATATCACGTGGCGATACGAGCATGTGTAGTAATGCGTGTGTGCACTAGTATACGTGTACGAACTCACCTTGTGGTGTTGCATGATGGCAGTGGCCTTTCGCTTGGCGGACATATTCAGTTCTCTGGGGTGCTCTCTCTCTGCCCCCCCTTCGCGGAGCGGGAAATATCTGCCTCGCCGGTCTCTATCCGTCTCTGTCCTTCTGTCTCTCTGTCCTTCGCTCTTCCGTCTGTTTTTCCCTCCTACTGGCGAGCCATAAGCGTCCACCCGAAGGCACGGCGATCACGAGGAACACAAAGGCGGTAAAGAGGCGCGGGGGTTGACAACGATAAACGAGCGCGCACGGTGACGAGTGTGCGCTCTCTTTCTGTCTCTCGTTCCCGACCGTTCCCTCTTCGTTTCCTCTTCTGTCTCCTTTCTTCGCTTCCGCTCGACGGCTTCCTCCGGCACGCGGTGCGAGCGCGCGTAGGGAAGTGAGGTGTTCTTTCCGGAGCGACCGGCACGTCGCGAGTAAACTTTCTCGGGAGCGAGTTTCGTGTTTCGTTTTCTGTCCCTCTCTCTATCTTCCTTTATGTCGCACGCGCGCGCGCCCGCGCACTCCGTCCCACACCTTGCGCTCGTGAACTTTAAGCTGTCACCCCGCGCACACCGCGCGATACCACGGCGGCGCCACGAAAGTTCCGCGACAAAACCTCCCGCGCAGTTGGTTGTTGCAGTAGCAGGTGTCGGCGCCGCGCGAGATTAAAACAGGCGCCGCGCGCAACTCGGAGTGACCAGAAGAATATTCGGAAGAATATGTCTCGAAACACGAGAGAAGTTCGTTTTTCTTTCCCTTTAAACTGTATTCCGTGTTTTTTTTTATTTTTTTATTTCCTCACGTGCGTCTTCTCAGCTGTCTATCACTCAGCTGTCTCTTTCTCTCTTCTCTATCCACGTCACGACGCGCACAAGACAAACCCCACAAAGAACATCAAACCGGTAAGACGGTTTCGCGATCAGCTGGTTTGTCTGACCTCTGGAGCATTCCGATCGAACGGGCGTCGACTGATCTTCCAACTTCGATCGACGAATCTCTCTGGTACACTTTTTCCGTCAATGAAGAACACGAACTCCAAGTTCGCGACGAATAGTCCACGTTTTTGAAATTTAATACAACGCTTTTTCGTCAATTCGAGAAGAAGAAATAATTTCCGGCGGCTTTCGCACTGTAGCCACTGCTCTCGTCCGTATGAAGATATCGTTCGTCAGGAAAATGACCCGTTCGCACGTTCGTAACTTGCCTGCACGCTCGTTTCCTGTGTCGTCCACAGTGGGAGATAGGAAAGCTTCGAGCTCGCTGCTCTGCTCACAGAACGTCCGCGCGTCACGAGCGCTCACGGCAAACTAGTAACTGGCGACGCGACGACGACGACCTCCTCCCCTTCTCGCACCGCAGCACCGCCGCCTCCACACGCTCCCCTCCTCGGTGTCCTCACCCCAGCTCCACGGTAGAGAGCCTCATACCGCTACCAACGCTTCACCCATACCCCACTCTCTCACTCGCCGTCAACTCAGCCTCCCCCCTCTACCTTCCGTCGGTTCTCTCGCTCTCCCGCGCAACCCCTCATCCCAGTCCTCCGACGACCCGCACCGCTCTCTCACTCCCCAGCGGCCCTCTTCGAGCGCGTCAACCCCCCTCGGTTCCTCGTCCCCGCCTTCCTCACCGTGACCATCTCTCTCTCCCTCTCTCCCCTCCCCCCTCTCTCTCTCTCCATCTCCGTTCCCCTTCCGTTCCCTCTCGTTTCTGCTTCTCTTGTCCCGGCGCCCTCGTCGGCTCCCCCTCGACCCTCGACCCTCCCCACTCGGTGCGGTGCGGTGGCGGCGGCGGCGGTAAGGTAGGGTCTGTCACCGTCAGAACATCGAGGGGGCCGCTGGACGAGTAACTCGGGAGGGAAAGCGGGAGAGGGGGTGAGAGGATTCAAAGGGGCGTAAGGGGCCGCTGTCGAGCATCCGGTGGCGCGGGGAAGGGAGGGGGTGAGGGAATGGGCGGCAGGGACCTTTCCGGACGGTGAGGGCAGGGCGGCGGGAGGGTAGTAGTACAGCGTAGAACGAGGGGCCAAGGGGCGCCAGCGCTCATCGGCCGAAGGGGCTTCCACGGGTGTGTTAGGCTTGTGCTTAGAAGGGTATGTGCTTTGCCCACCGCTTTGCTCCTCCAGTGTACATGTGCGGCACTGCTACGTGGACGTACAATATCTACAGTCTCTATCTCTCTCTTCCTTTCTCTCTCTTTGGCCGGCCTTCGTCTATTCGAGTGTGTTGCTCTATCTGTACCTCCTATACGACTCTCTGTAATATCTCTCTTTTTCCCTCTCTCTCTCTCTACCTCACGCACACACACACACACACACTCTCTCTCTCTCTCTCTCTCTCTCTCTCTCTCTCTCTCTCTCTCTCTCTCTCTTTCTCTTTTTTTCTCTTTCTGTCTCTCTGTCGCGTTCATCGTCTCCTCATGCTGGACTCCGTTCTTTGCACCATGCACACTAGTATGCCACTACTGGCGATACGTAACGTTGCTGTGGCTTCGTCGCCGTACCTGAAAGACGTAAGTTACACGGCATCTTTGTCGAGAATGGTCCCTGCCTACTTGCCTACCTGCATACGACTTGGGCAAGAGAGCATGCCGGACAGGTTTGCACGATGCACATGCATTTTTAGGTGGAAGCCTCTCTTCGTTTAAGCCTTCCGTATTATTAGCTCGTTGTCGTCGTTGTCGTCGTCTTGCTATACCTGGGTTAATACTAGCGTCGACGATTTACACGTAAATAACAGTAGTCTATGTCGAACGTGGATCCTCCTGCACGTAATCTGAGTAATCCTGAGCGATCGAAATCGTCGATTACTTCTTGTCGTTCGGTTAGCCTGAGTTACAAGGCATTGGTCTGCATCAATTTACACATAGATTGTATGCAATCGTTAATGTTTGATTAATATTTCCGCGGTGTGTGCAATCGAGATCGGACATTTAAAGTTGGGATATCGCGCGTTGACGTGGTTGATCTTTAGATACCTATATATTTTTCCTCGCTTTTACTTGTATTTTTATCTCCCCGCTTAAGCCTTCCATATTATTAACCGACCGTCCCGCCGCCAGCCCGGATTAATACTCCGTTTACAGCTGAGTCAAACGCATGAGGTTCGATAATTATAATATCGAGGCGAACAGCGATTGTCGGACACGCCACTGTCTTTACATAATTGCCGTTTTGAACCTGGCGATTCGATCCGATTCACACGACGGACGCGACCTTAAAATCTGGCTCACAAAAGTGACGAACGTAGAGGGATATCCGCATGTGTGATTGACTTTCTCGAACATTGAGTTACGTTATCGTAGACGTGTGTTTCGATGCGTTATTCGCGAACGAACGAACGAGACGACTCACACACCGTCATTACGACGGTACATGAAAGGATTCGCGCACACTTGCAAGACTTTGGTAATTCTCTGACGAGAGAGGTAGCGATTTTCCTTTGCCGTAAATCTGAGACACGACCGCAGTCAGCCAATCGTATGCAGCGGTCTCATCGGGTCAAGTACGAGCAAAGCCGTGGAAAATCCAGGCGTCCTGAGAGACGTATTATACATAAAATCGCTGCGCTACGTCGGTCCTTGATGCACCAGACGATCGAAATCTCGTAATATTCTCCCAAAACATTGTTCGTCTGAAGTAAAAAAATAAAACAATCACGTGATGGTTACATCAACAAAAATTAATACGAAGCGTAAAAAGATTAAGTTACTTAAAACATCGATTATATCTAGTAACAGTTTTTCGTTAAATTAGGCTACGTAAAATTATGCTACGCGCAGCGCCGTCCATTAATGTATGTCACTGTAGTAAAGTTAATTTGCACAAAAAACTGCTGCTAAAGATATCCGAAGCTTTGATGAAAAGGAAAATGTGATTGCCCCGAGGCCTCATAATTTCAGCCGGAATTTTCCATGCAGCGTCCACGTAGGTACGTGGACAAACCGACGAACAGAGCGATGCAGGGGTGACCTCGTAACAGAGTGGCTCTGTAGGATAGTCTTAGGGGAAGTGGCCAAGTTATCGGGCCAGCGTCGTAAAATACTTTTTCTCTCGACTTTATGACGGTTATACCCGTGCACAGACGTCCTCGGGGCTCCACCTGTCCGCTCGACTTCCTTCAAAAAGGCGACCTTTTTATTGGCCGGTCCGTACTTTATTTACGACGTCTTCTGCACGAACCGTTTTTTTTCTCTCTTCTCCCTCTCTCCCCTCCCCCTTCCCCGCTACTCCCCTCCCTGTGTAGCTTGTGGAAAACGAAGGAAACTCCAGTCGCGATAAAGCGCGAACTCGTTGGGATTAATAACGTTTTCAACAATGCCGTATGGAATGCGCACGGTAAATAAATGAATGGATGGATGTATGAATGCATGCGCAGACACGCCCACGCTCACGGTTCTGTGTCGCCGACAAAGGAAGTCACTGGCATGTCAATTGAAAAGTCGAAAGCGTAGGAAGAAACAGCAGCTCTTCCCTCTATCCGGGATAGACCCTAAAGGGATTATTTCTAATTCCTCCACGTCAATGGGACGAACGTTTGTTTCTACTCCTCCCCCCTTCTTATCGTAGGGTAGTACGCGATAACGATCTAAGCAACAGTTTGCTTCGACGGAGAGCGTAGGGAACTTCGGGACACAAGGAGCGTAAAAAAGCTTAAAACTTTCCGGCGAAAGTTTGATCTTTCCGATTCAATCCGACGCGAGATGAGCCGTGTCTTATCTGCGAGAGATATTCGTAATTGTCTCTCGTTATCATTATCGTCCTCGTTATCGCTCTTGTAAACGTATTTGTCATCAGTATTGTCAGTAACCCGCGCGAGAGGTGTCTACGAACTTAATTCATTACGAAAACTTTTCGCAACGTAATATACATACCTATACAAGTTGGATTTGTCTTCTCCCCTTTTACATGGAAGTCACGATACTATCCATACTATCGATCCATACTATTACCACCTGTCTCATTAGCTTTAATTTTGTAATTTGTAAATTAAAAGTCTTGTTCAAAATCTCTGCTACCGCATACAGCGCGCAGAGTATGCGGCTATGACTATTAGTCGAGTCGAGGAAAAGAGAAAGAATATGTTTCCTCTGCATGCGCACCTGCGCGTGCACGCATAAATGTGCACATACACGTATAGAGAACGTCATCTCGGCGAGTGAACAAAGTCCACTTTGGCATTAGACACCCTTGGTTTCTGAAGCCTCAGGCGGTAATCCCCCTACCCTTTGCCGTGGCACCCCTATAGATCTCTCTAGCCGAGCCACCCTCTCACTCCCTCGTGGCAAGACCCTTTCTACCTCTCCCCCGACTGCCCCCGCCCATTCCTCGGCCTCCCGCATCGCCTTCGCTACCTTCACCCTAACCCTCCGTCTCTCTCTTCGTTTCTCTCTCTCTTTCTCTCTCTCTCTCTCTCTCTCTCTGTCTCTCTCTCGCTCTCGCTTTCTCTCTTACTGTTACAGTCCGTTCCCTCCTCCGTCTATGTTTCTCGTTCCCTAGAGCAGCCCCTGCCTGCCTGCCGGTTTTTCTCTTCTCCTCCCCCGGCCTTCGCCGTTCCTTACCGTCGGCAGTCGCCCTCACCCGTTGGTACTCTACCGACCCGACCGCCTCGTTCCCCCTATCTTCCCCCACATCCGTCCCGCGCATACCCGCACACCCTTACAAAAAACCCAAGTCCAGTGTGGGCGCAACGGGGGGTTTCTCCCTTCGTTTCCTTTTACCCTCTTCCCATCATTCCTTCTTTACTTCTCTCTTAACCTTTTCCCGTCCTTCCCCCGCTGTGTCCGTTTTCCTTCTTTCATCCGCACGCCCGTTCTCTTCGTTCGGTCCGACCTGTGCGCTATACCTTCGTTTCGTTCCGAGACTTGATCTTTGTCTCACTTCGTCGTATACCGAGAGACACCTCTCTCTTTCACTCGAGCACTAGTGATTCTCAACCGTCCCTTGAACGCAGATGACTCCGTGACTGTGCGTTTTTTGTAAAAACTGGGAAAGAGGAGTCATCCTTTGTGTTAAGTTTAAAAGAATTTTCTCAAATTTTCTGTAATTCCCTTTCACGTGAATTACCAGCAATAGTGGATGTTAATCGTGTCATCTCTCATTGGTAGCTTCGTTATAATATATTGTTCTCATATTTTAATTATGTTACAATAGTTTCATGCCTTTATTATTTGAACATTGTACAACAATATTGAAAAAAATAATAAAATCAATGTGGTGTTTTTTATATTCACATACTCGTCGGTATCGCAAAGCATTTCACGTGATTTTCGCAATTGCGCATTGCTCAGAGATTCGAATAAATTCTCGCCGCCTCTC